ATGTTAGAGGGCCCCACGGGGGAGCAGCAATTCGGGGCTGACCAGGGAGATTTTCACGCAGGAGTTCGTGGGAGGTGGAAGGTGGGGCTACATTCTGTATTACATGCCTATGCATGTTCCACACCTCAGGAAGATGCTGAGGCAGAACCCAGCTTTGGGTTCTTAAGAGTAGAGCGGCCCACCCTGCTTGGAAGTTGGTGGAACATGAAGTGTGTTCTGGAGGTAAGTCAGGAGCTGGGCCATCAGGGGCTGAGATCTGAGTCCCAGTTTGAGCTCTGGCTTGCTTTGTGCCTGTCTAAACATCAGCCTCCTCTATAAAGCAAGGAGCTAGATGAAATAGCCCAGGGCCTCCTATCACACTCTGATGATCCGGGGACTCTAAGACTATATGAAGAAAGGACTGCCCACGGAGGAGCCTGGCCTCACGTCTTAAGCCCAGCGTTGTCCAGCACCAGCTCTTCGAGGCTCCCCGACTTGCTGAGGGTATGTAGCACCTGTTCTAGCACATCTGAGCCCTGAGGACAGAGGGGTCCTGCAATCAGAAGCCAAGAAGAACACTCTCTCTGCTCCCCTTCCCCGAGTCCTAGTTCTTACCAGTCTCAAGTCTTTGCAGTAGAGTTTGGTGAACCACTGGTTGTAGGCCAGGGCTGCCACCATTAGGGCCAAATCTCTGGGGGTATTGGACAGGACAAGAAAGGATGAACTGGGCCAAGAATGAAGAGATTAAGAGTGGGATGGCTGGGTGGGGGAAGCTAGATGGGTGGACGGCAGTGGGGTAGACGGTTGGAATGGGAGGGGTAAAGCAGGGCCTGTGGGGAGGACCAGAATGGGAACCTTGAGAAGGGCAAGGCCAAGGCTGGGAATTTGGGGCTTAAGTTTCTGCCCGTCTGCTTACCGGCTCTCCAAGTGGCTGAAATCCAAAAGATTGAACTCTCGGTTATCCTCAGCATGGTAGATGGTGTCCACATCCTTGGAGAGGTGGAAGCGGCTCACATCTGCTCCAGCCCCCTCCGCTGCCCCCTCCCTTTGGGCCCCACCTATTCCCCCCGCCAAGTTCCTGCCCAACGTACCCATTGCACCTCCTCCCGGCAGTGAAGTCCATTGTAGTCACACAGGGCAGCATAGGTCTCAGAGAAGCCACCTGTAGGGCAGGAGACGCGCTGGCTCCGTGTTGGCGAGGGGGAGGGGAAACGGGCTTGGGTTTCAAGGTATGGTCAAGGTCATTGCATGTGCTAGTGTCCCAGGCTCCTTCCACGACATAAACCTCCTGAGGTCCAGGAGCCTGAGGTCCTCAGGACAGGCAAAGACCCTCCAGGCAAAACCCATGCACAGAGGGTTCTGGATATGGGGCAGGGTGCTCCAAGACCCACATTCTCACATCTGCCCCTGCTCACCACACACACTGTGAGTGGTAGATGTGGAAGTTTCAGAGTTGGGAGATGTGTCTCGGGGCCCCTCTGGGGTGTCTGCATTTCCACGCCGGATCAAACACCTGGAAGATGAACAAATCCTTTCAGAGAGAGGTACAAGAGGCCCTCAGTTCTCCCTGGATGGCGGTGTGGGGGTCTCCAGGGAAGAGCAGAGAGAGAATTCTTGTCCTGGGAGCCCAGACCAGCAGGAAGGAGCATGCTGCCTGTGTAGTCTAATCCTTCGGGAGACCTCTTATCTGCCACTCACCCAGGGCCAGGGCAGACCTTGGAGAGGGCAGAGCTCACATGCCGCGTCACCTGGTCCACACTCTCAGCTGACGGCAGCCGCATGCTCACCACGCCACGCTCAGTCTCCACCAGAATCTGAGGGGGAGGGGGTGGCAGAGCCTAAGATACCCATTCCCTCTTCTAATCGGCCCAGCCAGCCGTGGCCTGAGCCCTGATGCTCACCTGGTTCTGACTGAGGGTGTTGAAGGCACGGATCTCCAGGACATTGAACGAACTCTCCACCTGGTGGGGCACGGGCCGGGTGGGGGGTAGGTGGGGAGCTCAGCTCCTGGTAAGGGCCTGCCACTGGACTTGAAAGGAGCATGCCACTCATTCTCCACCCCTTAGCCCAACTTACCTTGGCAGGAACTTTAAGGGGGAAAAGGTGGAGGCGCCAGGAGGTCAGGGCCTGCAGAGAACATCAATGGCGTAGGGCAGCCTCTTGGGCCATGGTGCCTTTGCCTTCTTTTAGCTCCTCAGCTCTTCTCCAAGACACCCCACCCCCTGCATTTTTCCTACTCTCCCTTCAGCTCCTGTCCATCCACCCAGTCTGGCTTGGTCCTCTCTCCCTTAGGCTGTGTCTCCCCAGCACCACCCCAGCTGTTTCTCTTGCCCACCCCGCTCCAGCTCAGCTGCCCTTGAGTATCTCCTCTCTTCCCCCAAGGCCAACGCTCTCACCAACACTCGGTCCTCAAACTTCTTGGGTTTTGTCTCCAGTTTCACACGATGTTGCTGGAGCACAGCCCCCTGGCTCAGGCACCTCCGGATGCTGTCTGCAGATGGGTAGGACCTGCTCAGAACTTCTCTTATCCCCCAGCCCACTCTCCAGAGACGAAGGGGCAGATGAGAGGTGAGGAACAGACACAAAGAGACACTGGAGAGGGAGGTATGGGGCAGAGGCTTTTCCTTTCTGGATGACTTTGTCACTGGAGGCAGTGAGAAAACTGGCTCCCAGTGTGCCTGAGTCAGGGGACAGTTGCTGAATGATACCGTCTGTGGGAGCATGTATCTTACACTTCTGAAGGTGTGAAAGATTTTCCCACCCATCCACTACAGCAACCACCAACATATACACAGTGAGTCAGTGTGTGTGTGTGTGTGTGTGTGTGTGTGTGTGTGTGTGTGTGTGTGGAGTTGGGGGGTGGGAGGTGGGGGTGGGAATGTCCCCCGACTGTATCCTAGGTGGTCTGGGTGTGAGAATCTGCTTTTCACTACGGCGGCGGCGGCGGCTGTATGCTTGTCTTCTGACGGCGCCAGGGAGCCTGAATGTGGCATTGGTGGGGACAGAGAAGTGTGAATGAGTGCTGGCTTGCATAGGAAAGGGGCACAGTGCCAGACAGTTCCTGTGTGGAGGGTGGGGTAAGAGAAAGACTCAATGTTTCAATGAGCCCATACCCATCTTCTGATAGAACCATCCAGTTACCCGTGTGTGTGTGTGTGTGTGTGTGTGTGTGTGTGTGTGTGTGTGTGTGTGCGCGCGCGCGCGCGCGCGCATATATGTGGTGGAAGTGCAGTTTCTGTAAGATGTGTGTACACACATCTCATGATTGTGCTTCTAAGTGCATGTGTAGGTGTGAGAGAGCTCCAGAGTGCAATAGGGCTCTGAATATCCTTGAGCGTTCTGCTTTCTGCATGGGCTAGCCTGTGCTCCTGCTTTTGAGGGTCAGGGTTGTAGCAGTGATGCGCGCGCGGCGCGGGGCGGGGGGAGGTCGGGGGGGGGAGGATTAGAGGCGATATGGCTGGGAATCACTGATCCAGAGAGGTCTGGAGGTGTGGGTGGTGGGTAAAGAGAAGGGGGCAGGCTGGGACGGGGGCTATGGGAGATGAGCCGCAGAAATCCTGCTCTTGGTTTTAGCCTTAGTCCAGGGCCTCTGCCCTGATTCCCTCCTTTGCCCCACTGGCCTGGGCGCTGCCAGGCTCCTGGGGGGCCTCTCCAGGGCCAGTTCCGGGGCGGGGCCGGGAGGAGGGAGGGTGTGGAGATAAGCAGCAGTCAGGACCAGGGGCAGCTCCCAACGCCTGGCCCCGCCCGGCGAGGGTGGGGGAAAGCTGGGACTCTAGGGAGGGAAGACTGGATGCCTTGCAGAGGGGTGGGTCAAGAACGCTGAAGAGTCAGCCCCCAAGAGCGCCAGGGAACTGCACCTGTCACCGGAGAGCGGGACGGGCGGCTCCGGGACAGGAAGGTTCTGATAGGGTGAGGCGAGTGGGGCAGAGAAGGATGCTCCACGGAAAGCCAAGCTGGGACTGAGATGCAGAGGAAGGGACTGCCTGGGAGCGAGGATGCGTGAGGGGGCGGGAGGCGCCGGGCTGGGGGTGTACCGCAGGAAAGCACTGGGTCTGGATGCTCGCGGACCGACCGGGCGTCCGGAGATGAAGGCAACCTCGTACCTTGCAGCTCGCGGGTGAGCTCCACGCTGGCCTTGGCCATGGCGGCCGCCGCTGCTGCTGCTGCTGCTGCTGCTGCTGCTGCAGAGGAGCCGCCGCCGCCGCCGCCGCCGCCGCCGCCGCCTCCCGAGAGGCGCCGCACATGCTAGTCCCGGCTCCGGCAGGGCCCGGCGCTGAGCGCTGCAGTAGCGGCGGAGCCCGCTCCAGTCAGGGGCGGCTGAGCGAGCGCTCCTCCCCCCGGCTACTGAGCGCCGGCTCTCCCGCCCCTCCCGGAGAGCTGGCCAATGGAGCATGCGCGCGGAGCTTGCGAGCCGCGTGAGACCCCGCGCGCGCTCGCGACGACCCCTCCCGCGGGCTACCCAGAGCGCGGCGCCGGGTGGCCGCGCGATCTCGGGGGCGGGGGTGCAGCGTTTCCACTTGCCCGTGCCACCCACGCCTGCCTCGGCCACCCGGAGCAGAAGCTTCAATTTCTTTGTTTGTTTATATGTGCCTTGGTACCCCCTCCCCGGGTCATCCTTCTGTGGCCCCGCCCTCCCCCTCCTTCCTGCTCAGGAACCGTCCAGCTCGTCCTTGCTGACCCTGGAGGGAACTCAGAGTCAAGGGCGATGCTGCAAGCAGACCTGTCCGAATGGGAGGGAGGGAGTTGGTTGTTCTCGGCTCGCTCGTCGAATGTCGGGGATCCCCGTGGCGTCCTTGGCACCGTCCCTGGGGGTGTGAGGCTAAGAGTAGCACTTGGGAGTTCCCGAGCCGCCTCCCCCCCCCCCCCCCCAAGCTGGCAGCTCGGCAGACACCTCCACCCTTGAGCATCAAGCTCAGGCCTTGGAGACAGGGAGGAGGCTTGGGGAAAATCCAGAGATCCAGCACTGCCCAGACTTCCCAGATACTCTAAGCACCCCACATTGAGAAATGAGCACACACTGATTCAGAGCAACGCGATCATCTTCGTTTTATTTGTACCTTATTTGTAAATTGTTAATTTTCATTTCTGTTCCTTTCACTCCAGGTCCCTTCTCTCTCCCCTCAAATTCTCCAGAGACCGGGGAGGGGGCGGGTAAGGGGGACTTGCTCTTCATCAAGGTAGCTACAGTCTTCTCAGAAAGTCCTTTCCACCCCCCCCCTCACCCCCCAAGCCTTTTTACAAGGCCATAGCAACAGCAGAGATGCTCATCTGACCACACTTTGACCACAGAGAAAGCAGGGATTTATTACCGGGTAGAGCTGATTTTGTGGGGTGAACAAAATCAGCGGCAAGGAAGGGCCACAGAGACAAGGTGGATTGCACCCTTCCCACACACACCAGCTGGAGTTAGCCCTGGTAGGCTGTCTCTCGGTCCTTAGAGGTGGTCCTCAGAGGCGAGAAGGGGTGCCTCCTCCAACCACTACCGTCTCGCCATTGATGTAACTGGCATTTTCAGAGCACAAGAAAGAAACTATGCCAGCACAATCCTCTGGTTTGCCTAGCCTGGAAAACAGGAAACAAGGAGGGAGCGAATGTAAATCAGGCTAGCCTCTCTCAACTGGCCCACAGGGCGTGAAATTTGCTTAAGACTTATCAGGTGGGCACTGGTGGGATGTTTCAGTGGTTGAGACCATTGGCTAGCTGCTCTTCCAAAGGACCCAGGTGTCCCAACACACTCACAAGGCACAATGGTTTGAAACTCCAGTTCCACGGGATGTGATGCCTATGTACCAGGCATCACATGCCTTTTTTTTTTTTTAGAGAGAGCCTTTTTTTTTAGAGAGAGAATTTTTTTTTTTTTTTCCCAGAGCTGAGGACCGAACCCAGGGCCTTGTCTAGGCAAGCGCTCTACCACTGAGCTAAATCCCCAACCCCCATCACACGCCTTTGACCCTAAAACTCGGGAGGCAGAGGCAGGCAAATCTCTGTGAGTTCGAGGCCAGCCTGGTCTACAGATCGAGTTCCAGGACAGCCAGAGCTACACAGAGAAACCCTGTCTTGAAAAAACCAAACCAGCCGGGCGGTGGTGGCGCACGCCTTTAATCCCAGCACTCGGGAGGCAGAGCCAGGTGGATCTCTGTGAGTTCGAGGCCAGCCTGGTCTCCAAAGCGAGTTCCAGGAAAGGCGCAAAGCTACACAGAGAAACCCTGTCTCGAAAAAACCAAAAAAAAAAAAAGAAAAAACCAAACCAACCAACCAACCAACCAAACCAAAAACAACCCACCCGTACATACTGAAAAAAAAAAAAGCTAAAAATTAGGTGATTTTTCAGAACCTGTGTACAGCTTTTTCCCCCCCTATTAAATGGGGTGGTTACGATCATGTAGTTATCATTTATATAAGCAAAAATACAGATTCCTGCAAAACCATGTTATATATAGAAACACTCTTTTTAGACACCAGAATGCAAAGTGGAACTGATAAAATGGTGAACAATTAATTTTGTGTTTCAAAAGAAATTGTTTCAACATATACACGACTCAAGTGTCAGAGAGTCTTTGTGGCAGGAATAGCATGATCAAGTTATTTCATTTGTACAGGTTCAATGTACAGATCCTTCTCAGGAAGCTATTTTTATCCTTTTAAGACCAGATCCATTCTGTAAGAATGTACTAAATCCCATTGTTTGTATCTTGATTCTGTATGTTCTAGAGGTGACAGTGTGAGTGACTAGAAGGCCTAGATGAGTGTTTCTCCAACCTAGCTGCACATTGTAGTTACTTGGGAGGCCCAATAAAGGAAAGGGGGAATGATGTGTAAATTCCACCATGGCCCAATTACAGAAGAGTCCCTGGGAGTGGGCCCTGATCAACTGAGCTTGTCATTGCTTCCCTAGACATTCAAATGTGCAGCCAGGACTCAGCTGCTCTGGGTTAGATCATTCACTGGAGTCTCTAGAATGGCAATGCTCTGACTTGTCAACAAGTTGTTAACTAGGCCTAAAGCTCATGCCCAACTTCAGCATGACTTTGGGAGAACCCAAGGAAGGCTGGATGGAATGTTTGGACTAGTAAAGAGGTAGATACTGCTAGGCTTTGTCCTTGAGGAGTCAAGCTAGAGAAGTCAGAAGGCAGTGAATCCAGAGCAATAGAGACCTCGCAGAAATGTCTGAGTAGTTACACTAGCCCACTGAGGAAGAGAGAGATGTACAGATCCTCAGGCAGAGTCTGGGCTCTGTGGCCTTCACCCTCATTCTACTTGGCTTGTAGGACCCATCAATCTGAGTGCTGGAAACGCCACTGTCTTCTGGGTTCTGGTCTCCACAGGTTCGAGGTAGAAGCAGACAGCGAATGAGAGCTCTACTTTGCTTTTTGAAATGAAAGCAGTGTCCTTGGTCAGATCATAGGAGTGATGGGTTTATGAATTTGTGAAGTCTAGGAGAGGCATGCTGTGTCATCTGTGGGACTGAGAGCCAGGGGTGAGGTTTCTGTCATTAAGTCACACTAATTCTCACCCGTGACAGCTTACCTGTTAATTTTCATGCTATCTTTTATGATGTCCTCTTTTGATGTGTCCTTCCATAACTGCAGGAAGAAGAGAAACCTTTTTATGTAAGAAGAGGAAAGCATGGGAAGAGAAGGAGGGAGCTGTCTGTCCCTGCCACAGCTGGGAAGGAGGAGTCCAATTCTCATCCCTTGTTGATTCCTCACTCCCTGCTCTCCCCACTGTGGGCCTCTACTTCATCCTTGCCAGGTCTTATTCAGGAATCTTGCTTGGTCTCCTCAATTCTCATCCACTTTAGGAGACGGGATACAATATGGGTAGGGTCCACATTCCTCACTCGGTAGAGCCCGGTAGGAAAGGAGTATGTGAGGGTCTGGTCTGGGGAAGGTAACTGGTAAAGAGAGGGGATACACAAAAGCCCAGGCCGCAGGAATGGAGGGGTGGGGGTTCAGGACTCAGGCACCGGGCTTCCCTATCCTTCCAGGGTGTCTGGGGGTTCAGTGTTCTCCCTTCTCACCACACTGCTGAAACGAGTCTTGATGAGTCCAGGCGCCAAGCAGTTCACTCTAATGTTCTTTGAGGCCAGCTCTGAGGCGAAGTTCTTAGTAAGACCCAGCAAAGCTGTTTTACTGACATTGTAAGGGCCCAGAGCCTGGGGAAAGAAGAGAATGAGTTAGTTCATTACTTTGCAGGTCATCGTTGGTTCTTATTGTACAATGAAGGCAGGAGCCCAAAAGGCACTTCCTGTAAGGGAGGGTCACAGTCAGAAGTCGCCTTGTAGTCTCAGGTAGGTTAGGGTTCATGAAAGCAAGGTGTCTGTTTTGTGGGAGAGGACTGGTAGAATGATCTAAAATCCTTCTTTGGGCAGTTGGAGGGGTGGACAGTATAGGATGGAGGCTAGGGTAGAGGTGGTAGGTTCTTACAGGGAATGGAGTGAAGCCGGCTACGGAACCCACGATCACCACCGAGCCGCCTCTGAAAAGGAAAGAGAGCTGAGCCCTTTTGGCCCATGGGGGGCCCCATCTCACCCAAGCTTCCGCTCAGTATCGTTTACCCTCGTTTCTCCATTTCTGGCACCACCGCTTTTATCAACATGGCCGTAGCCGTCACATTAATGCTCAGAACCTGAAGCCAACAGAAAGGAAGAGAACATGAGAAGGTTGATGCAAGGGCACAGTGATGAGGAGTTACACAGGTCTCCTGAAAACGCCTGTTGGAGTGGATAGAGATTTTGGGCACGGCTGACCTAACAAGGGGAAAAACTGGGGTTCAAGGTTGGGGAGGTGCCTCTCACAGCTAACTGACGGCACATCAATCAGGTCAGGTGAGACCGAGGGAAGGCATCTCTCCTAGCCAGCCAGTCCACAAGCAGCTTGACCTCTCAGGGCTGCTTGGGATTTGAGCTGGATTTTGTATTTCTTCCAAGCAGGGGAGTGGCGGGGGGAGACCTGGAATTGGGTCGCTGCCTGGACCTGCACTAGAGTGGCCTGTGCTTCTCAGGGAACATGTAACCTTGACCCGAGACACCTAGGGGCTTCTGTTGCCTCCTTGGCTTCTGCCCTTAAGGAGTGAGAGGACCTCCAGAATGGACTGTCTGGATGAATATTTATCAGAAAGCAGAGTAATGAGGGAACATTTGTGGGGAGCTGGGGTATACTCTACGATCAAAAATCCCATATCTCAAACTTAAAATTCAAATGTATGACCTTCTTACAGTGTTCTAAGTAGTGGGTTGTTCACTTTCTGTGTTCCTATGTTAACTTCTTAGTCTGATTTTTTTTTTTTTCCAAGACAGAGTTTCTCTGTGTAGTTTTGGTTCCTGTCCTGGATCTCGCTCTGTAGACCAGGATGGCCTTGAACTCACAAGAGATCCACCTGGCTCTGCCTCCTGAGTGCTGGGATTAAAGGTGTGCGCCACCACCACCTGGCCAGTCTGAGAAATCTTACTAAACATTTGAGATAGAAATATAGTGAATATCCAGCATCCTTTACCTTGATTCTAGTTATTTGCCTTTGGCCTGACTTAACCTCTTCACATATCTATACAGTTTTATTTTCTTACTCTGTAGCCCAGGCTGGCCTTGAAATCAAGGCAATCCTCCTGCCTCAGCCTCCCTAGTGCTAGGATTTCAGGTATGTGTTACCATGCTCAGCTTTATTTAATTTTTTTTGTGGGGGCAGGTATATGTGTACATGTGGGGATCAGAAGTCAATTCAGGGTATTTTCCTCAGTTGCTACTCCAACTTATTATTGTTTTTTGAGACAGGGTCTGTCACTGAACCTAGAGGTCATGGATTCAGCTGGACTGACTGGTCAGTCAACTCTCACCATGGTCTTGTTTTCCCCGGTACTGGGATGACCCGTACACTAGAGGTCTAACGTCCAGGTTACCCAACACCCTCTTCTGGCCCCTGTGAGCACTGCATGCATGTGGTGCACAAACACACATACAGGCCAAACACATACACATAAAAATTAAAAAAAAAATTAAGTTGGATAGTGGTGGTGCACACCTTTAATCCCAGCACTCGGGAGGCAGAGGCAGGTGGATCTCAGTGCGTTCCAGGTCAGCCTAGTCTACAGAGCAAGTTCCAGGACAGCCAGGGCTACACAAAGAAACCCTGTCTCAAAAAACAAAAACAAAACAAAACAACGACAACAAAATTAAAAATAAAAAAATTAAAAAAACTTACAAGTAAAAAGGAGAAGAAAAATTACTGATCTACAAACTTGTTTTATTTGACTTTTCCCAAAAGAGGCTTCTTTACTTTACAAAATATCTTAACCAGAAACTGGTGCAATGAAGAACACTTTGGCACCTTGGTCTTTTTGTTTGGAATGCTAATAAACTATAATACTTTTGCTACCCTTAAACTTTCGTGTTGAGAAATCCACAGGGGGATCATAAGAATTTAGCATATCCAAATCATGTGGGCATAGTGACCTTAGATTAGAGCTTTATTGTTAAAGGGTGTATGTAGATGGGCGAATTACATTATGAATATGATGTGACAAGACACATTCACCTGAAAGCCAACACCCTAGCATCTTTTAGGCACGTAGAATTTTCTTAGCAGCGTGGTTAGAAAGAGAAGAAACAGGTCATATCCAAAGGCTGTATGCTAGAATGCATCAACTTTTGTAATTTCGCCAAAATTGACATTTCAGTCAACGGCAGTTATTAACATTCCCAAGTAATGAAAAAGCATTCTTTTCCAACAGCTGAGAAGGGGACCGGTGGGTGGGTAAGTTTAAGCATAGTATTGTTGGCCTCTTAGCTACCATGTTTCTGTTGGAAACAAACCAGGAAGAAGGGCGTGGGTGAGCAGGCTAGGAGAGAGAGGTGAGGAATGGAAGCAGAGGTAGCTAGCACAGAGCAAATGACAGTAGACGGAGCTAGGGACAAGCGGAGGTGAGAGAGAAAAGCAGGGCGGGGGGAGCCAACCCCCACACTTGGTAAAGCCCCTGGTGAGCCCTTAACATCCACACTCTGGAAGGAGGCATGTGCAGGCAGGCCAAGGCTGTGCTGACAGTGGTTTTCTAAGGCCAGTTCCCTGCTGCTTTAATCTCTTACCTTGTCCCACACCTCCTCTGTGACATCCATTAGGCTTCCAAAGAAAGGGTTGACAGCGGCATTGGAGACCAGGATATCAACCCCTTGGTGAAGCTTCACAGCCTAGAGAGGAAGAAGGTATGCGTCAGGGCTACAGTTAAGGGAGGGAGGTGCATTCATCAATGCTGATGTGGAGTTTCATCTCAGGAGTAGTTGTCAAATGTCTTTCTCGAAGCGGGTTCTCTCCAAAGCCACCCTAAGCGCTGCTGACATTTGAAGCTATTATTTATTTCTGTGCTTCTCTCAATCTGCGCCTTCTTGTAAGGGTGTCTCTGACCCATTGTTCTTTTCTTTACACCTCCTTTTAGTGCGCTCCTTCAATCTTATGCCTCCACTTCTCAAATCTATTGCTGGACCTCCTCGTGAGTCCCGGCCCCATTTCCTCGAGTACCTATTGACCACTTTCCTTGAGTATGTTACCATGACCTCAAAGCCAGCCTGTCCACATGTACCTGAATGAAGGAAGATCCCAGAGGAGGAGGAGGATCATTCTAGCCCAATTTCCTCATGGTGGAAGTGATGACGCCTAGGTCCAAGGAGGTTCATTTTTCAAGACTGTAATTCGGTAACTATTCTGTGGGGACATCTAAGAGTAGGGTGGCCCATTTCTTTGGTGTTTGGGAAAGGTAAAGGGATTTTTTTTTCCCCTTCAGGGTACAAAGTGGCGGCTGAACTGAGGTCAGACTCTGACTCCAGCAGAGAGCTGATTCCTAGGAGCCCTCCAACAGCCAGTTGGGGTCATTCCGAAGCCAGCTGTGCAGGAGAGCTGTGATGGTGAAGACTCTAGCCAGGCTTTGAAGGGTTTCACACTCGGCTAGCCGGCTCTGAAGGGTTCCACACTCGGCTAGCCCGGCTCTGAAGGGTTCCACACTCGGCTAGCCCGGCTCTGAAGGGTTCCACACTCGGCTAGCCTGGCTCTGAAGGGTTCCACACTCGGCTAGCCCGGCTCTGAAGGGTTCCACACTCGGCTAGCCCGGCTCTGAAGGGTTTCACACTCGGCTTTGAGGTCGTTTCCCTCTCTCTTCTCGGCCCAGTGGCACAGCAGAGGCAAGGCAAAACTGAGAAAGCCAAGAAAGGAGACACCTCACCTCCTTCGTAAGCTGTAAGTAGGTGGCGAAGGCCTGGGAGGACACGCCAACAAGCTTTGTCAGTAGTTAAGAAGCCGCCTTAAACGCAGGCTTTGTGTTTGCCCAGACTTGGCAATTTTGAAGCCTTGGGCAAATAGCATGTAATGGGTCCTCAGTCAACTTTGTGCCTCCAATTTGGCAGAGGAGGGGTGTTATTAACCATGCACACCATCTGCTACCTTCTCCTTTTAACTAATTATTCTCGCTAACTAGGTGCTAAGCTCAGTTGTTGCTACACCGCTAAAGGAATACCCAGGCTGTCGAGGACGCATTCATT